TAAAAACAAAAATATTTACGATTTTCATGGATGATTTCTTTTGCATTAGTAAGATATTGTTTTAAATAAACAAAATAGTTTCTTTGCACTAATGGTATATGATTTTCCATGGATGATTTCTTTTGAATCAATGGAAAAAAAATGCAGAAAACTTAACAGAGACATTTAAAACATATTCATAGTAATAAAGTAATCTAATACGGCAAAACACATGATTCCAACAGAACAGTCGATCTACAATTTTCAGGCTTAAAGTATAATCATGAATGTGTGGTTCAAGCATTAGACTCCAAAGACGCTTTCACTGTTTCCAAATAATTAGTTTTCATTTCAGAAATCACCACAATTTAACTAAATGTGTTTTAGAATAGTGACATTAAAATTTATGTGTTTTTGAATCTGTTAGTTCGATTTCTGTCTTAAAAGTTATATTTTTGGTCGAATAGATACATGAACTTTGGTCCCAAAAAAAGATATATGAACTTTGGTCCAAAATTTTCAAAACACACAAAATAATCGTCTAATGTTGTGAACTATAAACAATAAATATTCCATCCGTTTCAAAATATAAGTTATTTTATAAGTTTTTTTGTTTTAAAATATAAATTATTTTGATAATTCTATGTATTTTTTAATTTTATTAGATATTGTGTGATTACTAGTATTTTGTGTGATTGGTCAAATTATTTTTATTAAATATATTAAATAATAATTTTTTTTTTAAAAATAGTTTTTAATATCTGCCATTTTTATCTAAAACAATTTACATTTTTAAACTGAAGAAATATAACATTAAAATTAGAAAAGTGACAAATTACAATGTTGTCCTTGAGTTCCGTCGTAAAAGGACGATATTTAGAAGGCTATTATAGTAAAATAAAGTACATCGCTATTGCGTGGATGGAACGTCTATTTCCAAACGCCATACAAATGTCCACCGACCACCGACCTAAACTTTTTTATTTTGAAGTTTTTTCTTATACTAAAATATGAAAAAATATTCTATTCTTGTAACAAAAAATTGGAGAGCTTATTGTGACTAATGACATTTGTTGTTTGCAATTATTTAGATAATAGTGTTCACAATTGGAATCTAGATTACGACTTTATTCAGTTGAACTAATTAACGCTTTAAGGTTGGATAATCTATTCACCACACAAAGTTTAGATAGAAATCTAACTATTAACACAATTTAAGAAAAATTAGAATTTTGTAGCAAGTTTCAGATCGTAGCAAAATAAAATTAAAGGATGTGTTTTTAAAAGAGTGGTAAAAAATTGGCTATAACATCTACAACTACTATTGATTTTGTTTTTAATTTCTGTATAATTTAAAAATTGTAAATAGATCCTACAGAAAAAGAATCTAAATTATATACTTTTTATGTTTGAAACTATGGGCTCGA